GGGGTGACACCAAGGCAAAAAACAGCAAAATATATATAGAAAAACTCAAGGGGGGTGGAAATCGAAAGTTTGAGGGGGGGTGTGCAAATCGAAAGTTTGAGGGGGGGGGGTGCAAATCGAAAATGTGAAAGTTTGTCCCTGGGAAGGGTCTCTATGCCTCTGGGGGGTGTTACCATTAAGTGCCGCACCGGGTGACACCCGACGTCGCTACGCCACTGCAGTGACCAGAGAACACCATGTACTGTCTCAGTGACCAGAGAACACCATGTACTGTCTCAGTGACCAGAGAACACCATGGACTGTCTCAGTGACCAGAGAACACCATGTACTGTCTCAGTGACCAGAGAACACCATGTACTGTCTCAGTGACCAGAGAACACCATGGACTGTCTAAGTGACCAGAGAACACCATGTACTGTCTCAGTGACCAGAGAACACCATGTACTGTCTCAGTGACCAGAGAACACCATGTCTCAGTGACCAGAGAACACCATGTACTGTCTCAGTGACCAGAGAACACCATGTACTGTCTCAGTGACCAGAGAACACCATGTACTGTCTCAGTGACCAGTGAACACCATGTCTCAGTGACCAGAGAACACCATGTACTGTCTCAGTGACCCAGGGACGTAGCGAGGGGGGGGGGGGCGGGGGTGCGGACCGCACCGGGTGACACCATTTAGGGGGGTGACACCAAGGCAAAAAACAGCAAAATATATATAGAAAAACTCGAGGGGGGTGCAAATCGAAAGTTTGAGGGGGGGTGTGCAAATCGAAAGTTTGAGGGGGGGGGGGTGCAAATCGAAAATGTGAAAGTTTGTCCCTGGGAAGGGTCTCTATGCCTCTGGGGGGGGGGTGTTACCATTAAGTGCCGCACCGGGTGACACCCGACGTCGCTACGCCACTGCAGTGACCAGAGAACACCATGTACTGTCTCAGTGACCAGAGAACACCATGTACTGTCTCAGTGACCAGAGAACACCATGTACTGTCTCAGTGACCAGAGAACACCATGTACTGTCTCAGTGACCAGAGAACACCATGTACTGTCTCAGTGACCAGAGAACACCATGGACTGTCTAAGTGACCAGAGAACACCATGTACTGTCTCAGTGACCAGAGAACACCATGTACTGTCTCAGTGACCAGAGAACACCATGTCTCAGTGACCAGAGAACACCATGTACTGTCTCAGTGACCAGAGAACACCATGTACTGTCTCAGTGACCAGAGAACACCATGTACTGTCTCAGTGACCAGAGAACACCATGTATTGTCTCAGTGACCAGAGAACACCATGGACTGTCTCAGTGACCACTGATGTTAACGATACTACCCACATGTTAACTCTGATGCTAAAGATAGCAGACCGTCTCACAGTTTAATGGCTATGTTTTGAAGGTTGTTGTTTGAAAAGCTTACCCCTATGCTAAACACATCGGTCTACCGAACCAAGAAGAGATAACGTTTTAGTCATATGTGTCCTTGAGAAATATCTACGCGATGAGTAAAACACAACGAAACATTTGGCTCACACAACCTGTTCAAACAAGTCAATGTTTTAAATTTTTGATAACTTGATCATTTTGTTAAAAACTACATATCTTTACAGCATTTATTGCAGGTTGTGAGAATTAGTCTATGTTTTATTAGTTTTAAATTTTACCTCAAAATCCCATTATAAAAATGACACCACAAAGATATCGACGTCACAATAACCAATGTTTGACCGATATATAGTATATATAAGGCTTGGTTAGGCAAGTTATAATCAATATTTATGACACAGCTATTTGGTAAATTATTCTCTCCGCTATATTACTGTTGTTTACATTTGGCCCAGACGTGTCAAGCGTTACACAATTATTGAGATACTAATTAGTGACATTGCTTCCTTACCCTAATTTTTTACTCATTTCTTTCGATTTAGTTGCGATGAATTGCAGCCACTTCAATTTGGAAAAAGCATTATGGTTTGGCTCGGGGAAAAGATGGTTATGGGCTTATATAATATAGTACGAATATCGATAATTTGTGGAACTTTTGATTGATTTCTAGTTACCGGAAGTGGTATTTTACTCTTCTGTGTTATTTAAGAAGCATTTTAGTTAGGTGGGCGTATATATGTATTTGACACTATAAGTAGATTTGTGATTTTTTTTCAAAACATAATATGATAATTTTATATCATATACTTCAAATACCATATACAAAAAAAGCTACTTGTTTTTCGCAAAGCGAAAATATTACAGTGAAGCCGTTGTGTGGCACGTGTTTCATTTAGAATCCCGCGTATCTTCACAGTTGAGAAATTACAATGGTAAGGATGAATCAGATAAGAGTCGGCTTTTAGAACTTAACATTAGTATGCAGGATATATTTTGAACAACAATGAAACGATATAAGCAACTCCCACACAACATGTACCATGTGGAACTTTTTAGTCTGCCTTTACCACTAGCTGTAGCAATGAAACAATGTGGGCTACATTTACCACTTTATATAGTAATAAAACAGCATAGACTACATTTACCACTTTATTTTAGAAGTGAAAGGATTTGGCCTACTGATTTAATTTAGTGAACGACTATAATACCCCAAGCTTATCCGCAATCGGAAAGATAGAAGTAAACATAGAGGATATTTAGGAGATGGCTTCTAGACTGTTATTGATTTTGTTTAAAATAAATAAAAGGCAGTATTTAAAATACCTACTACATTTCACTTGGTCGTCCCACGCTAATTATGTAATTATTTTTTCTCAACACCAAAACAAAGTAATAAAAAGTAATTTTTCACACAATGTAATGTTTTTTTAAAGGGAAGTAATTGTGTTTTCCTCATTGAGCAAGAGAAGTAATGAGTGTTAAATGACTAAGTAAAATAACTTTCAGACACAGTTAGAATTTTTGTGAATGGTGATACATTTTGTTTTTAAATTTTGTCTGATAGACATGCCGACAACTATCACTATAAGTTTGAAAAATGAATATTGTTTTATAACACCTTCAATATTAATTTTTTATATCATTAATTTAGTCGAAGAGCACTTTAGATATATAACACTATGGCGATCAAGTCTATTTTTTCTTCTATTTCGTTTTATTCAAGGATCAGCTGTCCGCGGTCCAAGGACACATACAGAATTATACAACTTTATATATATATATAATTCTCTTCTGGGAGACGCTAGAAAACAAGCTGTAAACGCGCTCCCTATCATCCCCACCCCTACATGGTCTTAGTGAGCTGTGGTTCACGCTATGTTTACCTTCGTGGAGTCGAGTTTAGTGACGGCCATTAGGGGCAGATAATTTAGTTTGAAACTATTTTAAACGTTGGGGGGGGGGGGGAGGGGGGGGGGTTGGTCCTTAACGAGCTACTTGTAGTGTTTTAAAGAAATATTTTCAGTGTCAGCGTTGGTACTGTCGATTCACAAATTATGAATTACTGAAAAGTAGAAAAAACAACAACTAAATAGCGGCGTGTGTTATGCCGCGGGCCGGCTCGTATATTAGATTTTATCACTTCTTTACGTTGGGTAAGGTAAAATAACTGTGTGCAAATCTGAAAAATCTCTAAAAGTTGTTAACAACGAGAGATCAGAATTTTAAAAATATAAACAGTGTACTTTCTGTACAAAACAGAGGGTAATTTTCTAAATAATATTTGGGTACTTACCCTCTGTACATCTGGCTAATATATTTGCATGCACCTCTATAAATGGCTGGGCCGTTAGGGGAAACTGTCGGTCAGACTTTAAGCTCTGTACAAGAGCTAAACGCAGACCGCGAATAAAAATATCATTATGTGTTATATAGTAGTGTATCAAAAAAAGGTTCTACCTGTCAAGAAAACCGCGGATGCTCGATAGATTGAACCAGATGCCGTATTTTGTTATACAAACAGCAATTTGGTGTAAAGAAAAGTATACATAGACTTCGTCATTGATCGATGTTTATACTATTTTAAGCACACAAAAAATTACGAAATTTTGGCTTTCGTTAGATTAAACGTTAAAGTATGTATTCCAAAAAAATGTAAAAATTAATCCATCTATATTTGTATATATATATATATATATATATATATATATATATATATATATATATATATATATATATATATATATATATATATATATATATTTCTATCCCCGCAGCAACGCGCGGTAACGACCAAACTATCAAGGGAGCCTCTGTAGTTCTAATTACTTTGCGTAATACGTATAATAAGTTTGCAAATATTTTTACCATCGGTTTTTAAATGAAATTTGTGTTTAATTTTAAACATTCCACATTACAGGTAGTTACCAATAAATTAATCATTCAAAGTCTTAAATGTTTTTTGAAAATCTAAGTGATGCTATGCATTATGGCTAGTTATTAATATTTCCAGAAAAATCATTTATTTTCTCCTTTTCTGCAGTATTAAATAGGCTTGATATTTCCACGTTAGAATATGCAGCAAGTCAAAAGATAAATGTTGCTACTTCTAATCATCACTATAGTATGTGTCGAGTTATGGGATATTTTTTAATATCCTAAGTGTTAGTAGAATAATAAAGGAAATATGGGCTAAGAACTCCACTGCATATAGCACGTGGATATTAATGACTACAATTATGTATAATGTGGAGATTGTGGGCTACAAAAGTTGTAGATTGTAGAGACTATGGGTTGAAATAGTTCTAGAATGTGGAGATTATTGCTACAATAGTTGTAGAACGTGGAGAAGTAAAGGCTATAAACATTTGTAATATTAGCGTTGTTAAAAGAAGTGATTTTAATTAGAATACTCTCTAATGATAAAATGTTGCATGCCTCGTATGTTAAATTGTCTATGGTTAAAATTGTTCTGATCAGACTAGTCTGGTACATTCCCTTTTGGATTTTGTTTATCACAATTGATAGTCTAAGTGATAAACAGCGGTTGCACACGTTAATTGTATGCATAATTCATAGCTAATTTGCTACATTACTATAAAACCCGGCCCACACAGCCATTAGGATACACCCTCTCGGCTGTTCCTGAAGAGATTCGACCAACATGTTGCTGTTCATCGCTCTGTTGCTTCACGCCTTCTCCGGCTTTGGTAAGTTCCACATGTCGTAATGTTTTAGGGCCTTCTCCGGCTTTGGTATGTTCCATGTCGTAATGTTTTAGCGCCTTCTCCGGCTTTGATATGTTCCATATGTCGTAATGTTTTAGGGCCTACTCCGGCTTTGGTAAGTTCCATATGTCGTAATGTTTTAGCGCCTACTCCGGCTTTGGTTAGTTCCGTATCTCGTAATGTTTTAGCGCCTTCTCCGGCTTTGATATGTTCCATATGTCGTAATGTTTTAGGGCCTACTCCGGCTTTGGTAAGTTCCATATGTCGTAATGTTTTAGCGCCTACTCCGGCTTTGGTTAGTTCCGTATGTCGTAATGTTTTAGCGCCTTCTCCGGCTTTGGTAAGTTCCATATGTCGTAATGTTTTAGGGCCTTCTCCGGCTTTGTTAAGGTCCATATGTCGTAATGTTTTAGGGCCTTCTCCGGCTTTGTTAAGTTCCATATGTCGTAATGTTTTAGGGCTTCTCCGGCTTTGGTAAGTTCCATGTCGTAATGTTTTAGCGCCTACTCCGGCTTTGGTTAGTTCCGTATGTCGTAATGTTTTAGCGCCTTCTCCGGCTTTGATATGTTCCATATGTTGTAATGTTTTAGGACCTACTCCGGCTTTGGTAAGTTCCATATGTCGTAATGTTTTAGCGCCTTCTCCGGCTTTGTTAAGTTCCATATGTCGTAATGTTTTAGGGCCTTCTCCGGCTTTGGTAAGTTCCATATATCGTAATGTTTTAGCGCCTTCTCCGGCTTTGTTAAGTTCCACATGTCGTAATGTTTTAGGACCTTCTCCGGCTTTGGTAAGTTCCACATGTCGTAATGTTTTAGCGCCTTCTCCGGCTTTGGTAAGTTCCACTTGTTTAATGTTTTAGGGCCTTCTCCGGCTTTGTTAAGTTCCACATGTCATAATGTTTACGAATTACAGGTTTAGCACAATAGCAGACAGACTATTTATAAAGGAAAGAGTAGATCATCATCGTGCTAACTTTAAAACGAATCGATCAGCTAGAAGTGCTCGAAATGCTTCTCGTCCGTTTCGATCTATGACGACAAAAGCACTTCGGAAGAAGAGACGGATAGATGAAACAAGTTAAATAAACGCTAGTAATGATATCTTGCCTTGTCCAGAACATTGATCTAACTATTTTCTTACGATGTACGCTTTTTTTTTTCATATTGTAGAGCATTTTAAATCAAATTCCTATTTAATCTTTTACATACGCTTCATAGCTAAACAGTATATATTCTCGCGGTTTAAATAAATAATATGTAAAAGATCCCATGAGTTATAAAAGCTTTTATTCATTAAAGGAAGCATTTTTTTCTGTGTTTAAAAATGTATAATTTTGAATGTATTTGTTTATCTTTGTTTTATTAATGATTTACGAATAAAATCCCGGAAGAGTCTTAAAATTATTAACCATAATTTTACTATTTCTCTACAGTTACAAGTTGTAACTATGGATACCCAACACCAATCGGTGACCTATTTTTTCCCCCTGAAACCTACAACGGACACAAATATTATCTCTCCAAGTTTCAATACCTGGATCCCGAACATGCTGAAAAGGTGTGTTTGTCCTACGGCATGTATTTGGTGGAGGTCAACGACGCAGCCGAATACAAGTTTGTCCAGGACCTGGTCAAGAAAGATAACCCTCCAGGCCTGCTGATTTCTGGAACTGACCAAGCACTTGAGGGTACGTGGATCTACCAGTTCAGCAAAGAGCCGGTCGCGTTTTTTGACTGGTGGGGAAGTAACCCGGACAACTGTTGTGGTGGAAATGATTACATAACACTCTACCGCGAATACGGCTTCAGGATGAATGACATGTTTGATCAAAACCGTGGTGGTTACAAGTTCATGTGTGAAAAATGTGGCTGAGCAATTGTTCTGAACATTTTTCTAACCACTATGGTAGATTAAACATTTCAAGCTGATCATGCTTTTGTTTTTTAAATTTTTCTTGATGTTCTTTTTCTGTTATTTTGTCCGTATGTCTTTGTGTACCTGTGTCTGACAACACGATAATTATAGCTAGCTTGATGTTATTTCATATTTAAGTATTATGTCAAATTTCTAGTTCTGTATTAACTTTTCAGTGATCTCCATTAACCAGAACTTTTTCTACTTTCGGTTTTTCATAAGCCTACAAACAACTTGAGTACTGTTTCTGAAAGATGGACGAAATTTTACATATAAGTAAAAGATCTAAGTGTCGATGACCAGAGAACACAATGTATAAGTAAGCAGTGAAACCACTTGTCTCAGTGACCAGAGAACACCATGTACTGTCTCAGTGACCAGAGAACACCATGTACTGTCTCAGTTACCACTGATGTTAACGATACTACCCACACGTTAACTCTGATAGCAGACCGCCTCACAGTTTAATGGCTATGTTTTGAAGGTTGTTGTTTCAAAAGCTTACCCCTATGCTAAGCTCATCGGTCTACCGAGCGAAGAAGAGATAACGTTTTAGTCACATGTGACCTTGAGAAATATCTACTGGATGAGTAAAACACAACGCAACATTTGGCAACAAGGCAATGTTTTAAATTAATATGACTTGATTATTTTGTTGAAAATGTCATGTCTTTTCGGTATTTTACTAAAACAATAATTACTAGTTTTGATAATTAGTCTTTTTTTAATATATTTTTTTAACTTAAAAATATTTTTAAACATGATAATTTAAATGATAAATTAATTGGTGATTTGTTCTGTGGAGAGTTGCAAGGGGCCTGGGAAAATCGCGAAAAATTAAGTTAGTGAAAGACAGTTGGCAGTCAAGTTGTAAGGCGGACCGGGTGTGTAGTAATGTGTGTGATGTAAATAGTATTTTATGCATTTTACTTTCTAGTATACAGAATATAGAGGAAGGTTTGAAAAATCGAAATTGAGATTGTAACAATTCTCAACCTTCTCCATTTTCCTGTGTCGAAAAAAAAAATTAATTTGCCATTTGGTCTGCATATATATTTATGTCTGTGAACACGATAACATTAGAACCGTTTCAATAATGTTGGAGAAAGTATTTTATCAAATGTGTTGTAATCTATCAACATGAAAGCAATTTACGATAAAATGATGTGGTATTCCTGCGGATTCTCAAAAGACAATACCTTGGGTACCGTTTAAGTTAAGTGGTCTACATTTCTCATTTAAGAATTACATTTTATGCCCAAATTTCTTTCAAATTTTGAGCGATAACCTGTAACCGAAAGTGATATTTTGCTCTATTTTCGTGGGAAAACGATAACTGGATTTCTGTTTATTTAGTTAAATGAAATTTCATATGTATGTATACGATCTTATACTTGGATTACTTTCTCTTTTTGAGTGACCTCTAATAAGTCTGTTACTTTACTCTATTTTAGGTTTTTACAATACCGTTTTAGATAGGTGGACGATTTACATACATGGGTATAAGATTTTATTACCCGGGTTAAGTCAAATTTTGAGTTCATTTCAGGTAATTGGAAATCGTATTTTTCGCTGATTACTCTGAATAAACCCCATAAGAATTTATTGATCTTGATTACTCTGTATATCGTCCGTTATTGTAAAACACGTGACCTTTTAAAACTCCAAACTGTGAAGGCTTTACAAACTAGTTGATGTTCAGTAGGACACCAATGTGTATGATATGTATTATTAAAATTTCGATTCTCTACAACACACTGATTGTAAATTTTCTGTAGGTCTCCAAGTTTCATAGGGATGGAACGTGAGTGATCAGTGGGACAAGGTATTCTGTGGTACGACAAGAAATTATGTTCAGTAAGGTAATGAATATTCGATAGATCAACAGATGTTTTATTTAATAATAATTAAATATTTCTACGAACGTATGTTTTTGAAGTAAATAAAAAAATGATTGCTGACTACAAAAGTCCCGGCTCGTTAACTGGGGACAGCATTCCATCAAGGAGAAGAAACTTATTCAAAATTTGCTGCCTGGTAATTAGTTCTTAACTAAGACTATATAAGCAGACTCAGACGAAACTAGACTAAAGAACGGAGTCAAAGGGCCATTTTCTTTATTATTGGTTGTGGTGGTTGTGTCTAAAACATATCACTGTGTGTGGGTGTGTCTAAACTGTCTAAACTATTTCTAAAATGTGTGGTTGTGCAAATTTATCTAAACATTATGGTTGTGCCAATATCTCTAAACTAAGTGGTTGTGCCAATATCTCTAAACTGTGTGGTTGTGTAAATATCTCTAAACTATGCGGTTGTGCCAATATCTCTAAACTGTGTGGTTGTGCCAATATCTCTAAACTATACGGTTGTGTAAATATCTCTAAATTATACGGTTGTGTAAATATCTCTAAACTGTGTGGTTGTGCCAATATCTCTAAACTATACGGTTGTGTAAATATCTCTAAACTATACGGTTGTGTAAATATCTCTAAACTATACGGTTGTGTAAATATCTCTAAACTATACGGTTGTGTAAATATCTCTAAACTGTGTGGTTGTGCCAATATCTCTAAACTGTGCGGTTGTGCCAATATCTCTAAACTATACGGTTGTGTAAATATCTCTAAACTATACGGTTGTGTAAATATCTCTAAACTGTGTGGTTGTGTAAATATCTCTAAACTGTGTGGTTGTGCCAATATCTCTAAACTGTGCGGTTGTGCCAATATCTCTAAACTATGTGGTTGTGCCAATATCTCTAAACTATACGGTTGTGTAAATATCTCTAAACTATACGGTTGTGTAAATATCTCTAAACTATACGGTTGTGTAAATATCTCTAAACTATACGGTTGTGTAAATATCTCTAAACTGTGTGGTTGTGTAAATATCTCTAAACTGTGTGGTTGTGCCAATATCTCTAAACTGTGCGGTTGTGCCAATATCTCTAAACTATACGGTTGTGCCAATATCTCTAAGCTGTGTGGTTGTGCCAATATCTCTAAACTGTTTGGTTGTGCCAATATCTCTAAACTGTGTGGTTGTGCCAATATCTCTAAACTGTGTGGTTGTGTAAATATCTCTAAACTATACTGTTGTGCCAATATCTCTAAACTGTGTGGTTGTGCCAATATCTCTAAACTGTGTGGTTGTGTAAATATCTCTAAACTGTGTGGTTGTGTCAATATCTCTAAATTGTGTGGTTGTGCCAATATCTCTAAATTGTGTGGTTGTGTCTTAATCTTTCTAATGTGTGTAATTATGTGTGTAATTGATGTGTGTAATTATGTCTAGACATTTGAGTCTTTTTTAAGCCTTCACATAATATTATAAAATACGTTTATACGTTTATACTGACCAAAGCATTGCTCATTATTCAGACCGAAGGAGACATAAAAATCGAGAATTACTCTACCCAATGTTGCCAGCAAACAGACCTTTATTTTTATGACTTTCGTTTTGATAATAAAAGTAATAAAATGACACAAAAGCTGCCTTTACAAAAAAGTGTATTACTTTAAATTCTATGTTGACAAGAACTAAACACACGCAAAAGCATTATTTTAAATCTTGTGTAAACACGACATCAACCTATGAGTGTAGGCTACTTAAAAGCGAAAACGATTATTTACGTCATTGTTGTAGGCCTAAAAGTAGAATACAGCGATGGTGGTTGTTATGGTATTATGTGCTTGTAGGGTCCCTGAATTAATGGATGCTTATAGTGTCCCTAAATTAATGTATTCTTGTAGGGTTTTGAATTAATGTATGTTTGGGGGTCCCTGATTAATTTATGCTTGTACAATCCCTTAATTAAAGTATGCTTTTATGATACTGAATGAATGTATGCGTGTAGGTTCCCTGAATTGATGTATGCTTATAGGGTCCTGAATTAATGTATGTTTATATGGTCCCTGAATTAATGTATGCTTTTTGGGTTTTGAATTAATGTATGTTTGGGGGTCCCTGATTAATTTATGCTTATAGGGTCCCTGAATTAATGTATACTTGTGCGTGTCTCTAAATTAATTTAATTTTGAAAGCAACTGCAAAATGCTTTAAATATAGCCGAGATGTAAAAAGAAAAAAAAACGCACTTAGCAATGTAGAACAAATAAAGCATAAAGATGACAGTCAATTAATTTCTCACTTGTCTTTGTCAAATTAGTATGTAGTTTTGTTCCTTGTTAATAGTGTTGAAATGATAGTTTTATTACACACTGAATGACATAAACAGCAAATACCTGTTGTATTTAATTTTCAGAAATACTATAAAACACAGCCCACACAGCCATTATGATACACCCTCTCTGCTGTTCCTGAAGAGATTCGACCAACATGTTGCTGTTCATCGCTCTGTTGCTTCACGCCTTCTCCGGCTTTGGTAAGTTCCACATGTCGTAATGTTTTAGGACCTTCTCCAGTGGCGGATTAAGGGGGTGCTGGGAGAGCTGCAGCCAGGGGCCCCCGATTTTTAGGGGCCCCCAAAATTTCCTTTTTAAATCATAGTAAATTTCCCTTTAAAGCTAAATTGATGGGTTTTTTTTTTCTAAATATAAAAGCCAATATTTTAATATTTGAGCACACAATTTAGTTTAAATAGCGGTCGAGTCCTGACACATGAGTCTATGATTGACGCCTTTTAAAAAACCCACAGCACTTGAAAGTAATTTAGTCAGCGTCAGATCGTGTAGTGAGGTGGTAACCAAAGTTGAAATAATACATTTTAGGCATAGGGTCTACATTCTTAACTAGGTCTCACTCGCAAGCATCCAGACAAGCAACATTATTGACCTGCCTTAGCAATCATTGCAAAACTGCCTGACCATTTTCGCTTACCCACTACACTAGCACATAGTTGTTCTCGGCAAATGAGACATTCTGATCAGTTCTAGATTTATGCTTAGCTTCCTTTATTAGTTTTAAAATTTGAGATAGAACTAGGTACTAGGTATTCT